GAGCAAGGCCGCAGAGCACAGGGGCAGCGGGACAGCCCAGACGTGCCGTGGCTGTCCTGCTGCCCTCAGGCTCCACGGCTTTGCTCTGCTTTGCTCCCCTTCTCCCTGGCCTGCAGACCAGGAAGACTGGGAGCAAAGCAGAGCAAAGCCGCGGAGCATGCGGGCAGCGGCTTTGCGCCCCGTCCCCCTGGTCTGCTGGAGACCAGGGAGTTGGGCCCCATTCGTAACTGCGGATCCGACATAAGTCGGATCCGCGTAACTCAGGGACTGCCTGTAATTAACTGGTGTATAACATATGCCTCCTTTTTCCCTGTCTCTGCCTGAGACATCTTTGAGAGTATGCTATGGAGTTCTGGAGTAACAGAACAAGGTCAAGCTGCTAGTGTATTCTATAAATAAGCTATTTTCTATTCACAGATGTGGCTTTTAAATTCTGACACTTTATTGGTGGAATCTATGGGAAATTCAGCATCCAGCAGTGTGTTTACATTGTTTGAAGATAATTTGAGGCTTGACTCCAAGTCTTTAGGCACATGGGATGCAGTCAAAGTTCTTTATCATCCCTGCATTAAAAACAGGAATAAGGAGTAAGTATCAGCTCTTTTATTAAGTTTTGGTTTTGGTTTGGTTCACAGTCCAGGAGAGCAGTGTTTCTCTGATGTGCTTGCTGGGTATGCGTTAGATTAAGGAGGAGGGAGGGTACATCTTCATAGTGTTGTGTGTGGTTTCAGCCTCTCTATTTATGTTAGCCTAATGAGGGTCTGGTTTCTAAATTGTTGCATCCTACTTTGCAAATGTAGGGGCCAGAGTTGCATTATTAATTGAGCTACATTGACTTCCAAGAAATTAATCTACCTCAGGCTAGACCAGCCTTGGCAAAATATGCCAAGCTGCTGGATACGGCCTGTGGACGCAGTGGGGAGCCTTGCCACACCCTCCACCCCAAGATGCTTCTGAGAGAAGCTGCTGCCAGGTTCTGTTTGAACAACTGTGAGCCTTCATGCATGGATCCTGCCCCCAGCTCAATCCCATTGGCTGGTTTCCACCAATGGGAGCTGCCTGTTCTCAACCGACTGCTTCCAAAGCACCCTTCCCCCTCCCCTCAGGCTCATAGCTGTTCAAAAACCACATGGCCCCTACAGCCAGTGTGGGGGCAGGGCAAGCAGGGAGTCCGCTTTAGAAGGCTTCTGGGTGAGAGTCCAGCAGATAAGACTCCCAGCCAGAGCCTCTGGCACCCCAGACTTTTGCCCCCCCTATCCCACGGAACCTGAAATCTGTATCCTCCTTCTGTCCCCCAATACCCTGTCCCAGCAGTGACATAGCCAGAGTGTTATGTGCCTGGGGCAAAGGCAAAATTTGCATCCCCCAATCATTGATTATTATGTATATGTTATTTCTAAGTCAGCAAAAATAAGAACGTAAATTTAAAAAAAAGAACAAAATTAAAAAGTTTCTTCCGTAAGCTTCCGCATCCGTTGTCAATCTTGTGTCATGTTGCTTCCGGTATTGTACGCGTATATGATTTTTCAGTCCAACGTTTCATCCAGCTTGCTCCAGACATCATCAGGGTAGTGATCTACTAGGATCTATTAACTGACCTACTGATATCCACGGATACTGGGATCAGCTAGTAGGTTGGTTAGTAGATCGTAGTACAATGCTTGCCGAATAACTTCAACACTTTCAGTATAACATAACTATCGTCCTATTTATTTTTTGAAAGTTTTGCTGAAATCTTTTCACAGTCAACTGTTGGAATATATACAAAATAGGAAATAATCATGAAAAAGTTAACACAACTTTTGGCAGCTAAATTGGCATACCCCTCGCATGGTGCTTAGGAACAACTGCCTTCCCCACCCCCGTCGCTACACCACTGTGCCCCAGGACATAACCCAAACCCTGTACCTCCTCCTGCACCCCAGTCTCTTGCCCCAAGTGACAATCCCCTACTGCCCTAGGTCACACCCCAAACTCCTCCATCCCGTCCTGCATCCTAGTCCCTTATCCAAGGTCACAACCCCCTCTTGCCCAAAGTCATGACCCAGACCCCTGCACCCTAGTTCCCCAACCCATGTCACAACTACCTTCTTCACCCAAACTCCCCCCTCCCAACCCTACACTCTCTCCCGCACCCCAATCCCTTACTGCAAGGTCCCTTCTGCACCCAGCTTTCATCCCAGACTTTGCACCATTAATATGGAAGAGAGCAGCCCTTGACCACTTTCCAAATCTTGGAGTGGCCCATCATCAAAAATTATTGCCAACCCCTGGGCTAGAGAAACACACCGGTAGAAGGTGCCCACAAACTGCTGCGACATTTGGGGTCCTAGAAGTGGCTAGTAGAGACAATAAAGTGGGAAAAGCTGATCAGGGCAAGACAAACACAATGGCTACGTCTACACTGGCCCCTTTTCCGAAAGGGGCATGCTAATTTTAAACTTCGTAATAGGGAAATCCGCGGGGGATTTAAATATCCCCCGCGGGATTTAAATAAAGATGTCCGCTGCTTTTTTCCGGCTTGTAGAAGGAAAAGAGCGTCTAGACTGGCACTCTTATTCAAAGTAGGAATAAGAGATCCTCCGGAATAGGGCTTTATTCCGGAGGATCGGGCCAGTCTAGACGCACTTTTCCGGCTTTTCTACAAGCCGGAAAAAAGCGGCGGACATCTTTATTTAAATCCCGCGGGGGATATTTAAATCCCCCGCGGATTTCCCTATTACGAAGTTTAAAATTAGCATGCCCCTTTCGGAAAAGGGGCCAGTGTAGACGTAGCCAATGTGTTATTTCTTCACATCTCTTTAATATCAGTCTTCCACCTGCACAACTCTTGTGATGACCTGTCCAGAATTTAAAGCTGCTCTCTTCTGAGGAGAATGCCTGTGGAATGGCAGTGGTGACACTTCTACCTCTGCGGCAATCCTTCGCCTTCTGATGCAAACATGGGGCATGACCAGTCCAGTTTGCACGTTGCAATTCTCATCCATCTGTTGCAGCTTCATTGTTTACCCTTAACTGTGAAACAATGTCTTGCTATGCATATGGTTTGTTAAAGTCCTCTATTTTTAAGCCATGAGATTTTCAATCCCACTTGCTTTTCCTGAAATACTTACGGTAGACAAGCACACTGAATGTCATATGCATAAACAGCATATGTAAAAATGTAAATGAGTAAAGATACCACTTCATATTCTTATTGCTAAATGGTAAAATTATTAGTAGATTATTTAGTAATGTAAAATTATTTTTTATAACTAAGTGCTTTTCACTTATGATTTCACAGGTTGTGTGTGCGTGGGTGTAAAATTGTAACTTGTTTTAAATCTAATGGTAGGATTCTTTTTTTTAAGTTCAAACTGAACGCTATACACTTGGTTTTTTCTTAGTTGTGTCCTAGTCTATTGGAGTTTTCATAAAGAAAACATTTGACTTGAGCAGGATCTGAAGTGTCAATTATGATAGGAAAAACACTGCCAGCATAATATTTGGTTAAGGTTGCAGTCATGCTTTTAACAGCATCATTTTATATTAAAACCTGTAACTGGTGGTGGATAAAGTTGCTAGAATATTACATTCACTGGTGACTTCAGTGTTTGCACAGCTGACAGACTAGCATTTGTTCAGTAATTTGTATTTCACGTATTGGCTCTATGATGGTAGAGCAGAAAGCATATATGAATAGAGGTTTGTGTTTGTTTTTTCCCTTGTACTCTTGAGAAAAAGTGGTGGATCATATAGGTATTATAAAATATACTGGAAAATATCCTATCTTGTGATCATATTTTATAAAAGAAAAATATGAACGTCTCATCAACTGCTGAGAATTTGTGATAGATATCATAGTAATTTCCGCCGATTGTATTGTGTCTGCATCCCCCTTATACATAAAAATAATTCAAACACTGAATATTTTGAACATACTCTTTCATCTAATTCACAGAAAGAATGTTCAGTTATTGTGAAATGTGATTATTTGTGGGGGAGAGAGCTTTTTCCTAGAGAATGATGTAATGATAATTAAAATTTATTAATTGAAAAGGTATGGGAAAACATATTGCTCTATGTGATGTAGGGTTGTAAAAGAATAATCGTGTTGACTACTCGTGTGTGCAAACCCCCTCTCACCCCCCGCCCCTGCTGCCTCTGTATCAGAAGCAGGGGAAGCAGGAGCCGTCTCGGGGAGCAGGGGAGGCAGAGGTGCTGCAAGCTCTGCCCTTTAAATGTAGTAAGAGGTGCCCAACTCTTATTACATTTGAAAGGCAGAGCCACAGCAGTCTGGACCCAGCGCGAGCAAGGACTGAAGCAGTCCCAGCTCATGCTGGGTCCCAGACGTACTCCCTCTGCAGCTTAAATATAGTATGAGCCAGACTTCCTGCTCATGGGGATTTTAATACATTTAAACTGCAAAGCCGCAGTGGCCCCTTATCAACTAATTGTGTACTTGATACAAATTGTATCAAGTACACAATTAGTCATTTACTTGCTACTTGACATCCTTAATATGACATAGAGGCTATTTAGTGGCCCCACATCTATGTTATAGAACAGTATAACCTCAAGTAGATTTCATCTGAAGTGTAAGCAGACTAATACTTGAAAGTAGTGAAGATTTGAATTTCCAACAGGTTTTCATTTTTTATTGCATATCATAGAGAAAATGTATCTACTTAGGCATAATGCATAGATAATGGCTAAATATACACCTGATCACTTGCAGTTCAGATATATTGATATCCAAATCCTGTTATGAACTATTTTAAAAACCAAACCTGTACATCATTTAGAGAAGCAGAGGCAAGGAGAAATGTTAGAATTTTAAAAAAAAGAGAGTTCCTTTTCTGTCAAAGGTTTCATTCTTGAACTTTTTTTGAGGTCTTACTGCCAAGACTGTGTGTGATTGTCTCTCCTTTTCTAGTGGATTGGGTGTAGAAAGTCTGTTTGTAAAGATTAATTTACATTTATCTTTGGGGTTATTCAGGATATGTCTACACAGAGAACCAAAGAACATAACAACCTGTGTCAGTAAGACTGAGTGCTAGAGTCAGTTGACTTAGGTTTGCTTTGCAGGGCTAAAATAGCAGCATAGACATTCAGGCTGGAGCCGGAGTGCCGAAACACGCTGAAGGTTTCGGAGCCTAGACGTCAGCCCAAGCCCAAACATTTGCACTTCTATTTTTGGCTGTTTTGAGACTTGCTGCCATAGAGTTTTGGGGGATTTTCGTTTTCATTATTGATTAAATTTATTGATCGCTGTGTAGATGTATCCTCAGGAGCTGCTAGCTAGGCATGACAGATCTTGAAAGGACATATCGACTCAGCTGCCAGAAACATCAAGAGCAGAAAGACGACGAGGGGCAACAACAGTAACAATTGTTCCAGTTTATCTTCCCTATTAGAACATTTGCTTTAGTTATCTTTTTAAAATGTGTGATGTCAGTAACTTTAAATAGCGCAGTCCATTTATGGGTCTGGTGTCTGAAGATTTCCCTGGTTTTTGTTGTTGTTGTTGTTGCTGTTGTGTCTGTGGTTTTTTTTGTTTGAGCTGCTCCATACTTAGGAATGTTATCTTTTTTTATAGCAACTATCA